AGCAGTCTCTCATATAAAATTGCACGTCCAGTTGTACAACCTAGACATTGTAGATCCAAGAGGAGCAGCAATATTCTCTGCAGGATACTTTTGACTAATTAAATCCTAATTAAAACTCTTTGCATGAAGTACTGTTTAAATTAAGAACGTTACAAGAGTGGAATCTGACAGTGGCATAGACATAACATAATGGTTACGTTTATAAAATGAACATGTTTTTAAATGAGAAACCACGACAAAGCCAAATCTTCACATAGGACTACATGAAGGACTTTGTGAAAATGGAAACATACGGGTGTTTTTTCCTAAAACAGGAATAACTGCTTACTACTTAGGTGATATTCTGTAACCACAGGAGGTAAGTTTGGAAACACTGACTATTCTTACCTATTCTAGGATGGAAACACTGGCCACATGCATCCAAAGTAGACCTGCACCTGCGCTACTCGTATAAAGAGCAGTGACATTCGTCTCCTTTTTCAGTACTCACGTTTGAACTCCTACAACACTCCAAGCAGAACACTTGACATTTTTATATTCCCTAGCTTAAAATGGTAGCAGAAGTCACTCTTCTACATGGCTATCAAAGCCTCAGTGCGGTAGTATGTATGCTGTGACTGTTTCCTGTTCTCTCCACTCCTCCAACACGCTTAAAGCCAAAACAAAACCTGATAACATTTCTGGTATTGCTACACCTTCCCTAGCGATATGCAACCGAATCATGTCATAAATTAGCCTTTAAAAGCAAAGCCCTGATTCAAGTTACAAAAACGTAATCTTTCCCTCTGCTCCCTCTTTGCAGGATAACTTCTTTGCAGTCTATGTGCATTCATGGTACTCAGTCAACTGAGTTGATTGTACTCATTTTAAATTGTTCCTTTTAACGCTTTTACCCTCCACCCACAGGTCCTCCGCTTCTCTTCTCATTGATTATTGCACCCTGGGGCTGCAGAAGAGGTGCTTGCCTGCTTCTGCTTCTTACGGCGTTTGTTCAGAAGGCGGTTGTTGGATGTTTTCAAGTCTTTAATTTTCACCTGATCATAGTCCACTCTCATGGTAGCCAAAGCGCTGGTCATCTCCTCCTGGAAACCAAGCAATTAATTTATTGAACACCCCAAGGCAGAGAGAGCACAGCCATCCCACACTAGTGCCAGGTGATGAATGTACAGAAAAGAACCCTCTGTTATGCTACAGCCAGGAATAGTCAAGCCCTTTCTGCTGCAGTGGACTATGACTAAAGGCTTCGTTCTACTCAGGGATTCATTCAGGAGGAACTATTCACAGCGTTTCACATGTGGAAAACACAGGACCACACTCCTCTGGCCCGATTTCCATCATGTCCCTGTGACCAGCATTTCTTACTGTCTGGCTCTAGGCCTTCACCAGCTGCTAAATCTGGGCTTCTTGTAACAGAGTGAGAGCACTGTTTTTCTTGCTCTGTCACCAAACTAGGTTAGCAGGAAGTAGAATAAAGAGTCCACACAAAGTTATTTAGAAGTGTGCACTTCAAATTCACATGCTTCCTTAGTTTGAATTAGCGTTTAAGTTCAGACAAATCTTAAACTTTTTAATAAGGCTGTGAGCGAACATCTGCTTAGGTCAATGGATGCCTATGCATTTAGTTCAGGAAAGGAAAAAAGACTAAATATTATGGGAATGCTAGCGGCCCAAGGGAATACCTCTGGGACAAGTGTAAGAAGCTCTCAGAAACATGGAAATGAAGAAGGCTAAGTGAAAATAGATATTTGATTCCTTTGACTTGGAAGGTGCATGTTGCCTAGGTCCTGTCAAATTTTATCTTAACATAGTTTAACAGCTGCGACTGCACATTGGTAATTTAAATAAAACGAGTGATCAGTAGAATACCTTAAAGGAATGTTGCAATTACCAAAATGCCAAGGATTATAAGTGCACAAAGTTCAGAACTAATTGTGAAAAAATATGCCAACCTGATAAAGGCCAGCAGGAAAGAGTTAAGGCTTGCAAATAACTTTTAGTCTGCCCTATAGTTTCACTTTGCAGGAAGCATTCAACTGTCATCAATACAATGAGTAGGTGAGGCACTTGGTTAGATTAAGGGAAAGACAGGTACATTTTTCTTTTTTCCTCCTCCTTACTAAAACTGTCACAACAAGACAAGGCTAAGGTTATTTAATGTTGGTTTATAATACAAGAACAGAGTAGAAAAACAGAATGCAGCTCACCTCCCTCTCCATCCTGTCTCCCTTAATTTTCAACATATCCTTTACTTCACCATAACAAACTCCAAACTCCCTCAACACTGTCCGTTCTCCTCTGTGCTACATACAGAGGCTCAGCAGGTAGCATCATCAATACCTTTGATCATAAACATTTAGTTTGTTGATACTTTGCACAGCTGTAAGGCTGTCAGATGAAGCTCAGATAGCGTTCTTCTTTTTTAAACAGTTATCATATAAAGTACTGTTTTAACCAGGACTGTTTAAGCTTCCCTTGCTTAACACGGTTGTTTTCAAAACAGCCATAATCTCCATGGACACAAGCATCCACAAAGAAAAGCACTCATCTAATCTCTTATGTGATTGACTTCAAGAAATCTGAACTACAGTTGACTCACTTTAACTTCATCCCAGTGGTCTTTATCCTCTTGCAGGACCCGTGCAGTATGGAGAGGAGTTGGTGGCACTGCCATTGATCTCTGAGAAAAGGGAAAAATACCAAAAGTAGTGTTCTGAAAAATCAGCTTTGGAAAGTGACTATTTGCTCTTCTATGTGTATGGAGGCCATAAAGCTTTATCTATCTTCCTTCAGTGGCCCCCATTATTCATGCTTACTATCACTCCATAAACCAGTGCATAAAAGCTGTCCTGTGTAGAGAAGGACTACAGTCCCTGTACAACAGTATCTTTAAAGAAGAAAAGGAGAGAGAAATCAATGCTGGATTTACTTCACTCTGCTCCCTTCCAGTCCAACCAATGTCCCTGTGTTAGATAATTTTTTACGAACACTTTAGATTTTTAACAATTGTCATTTCACTGTTCGTTAATCATTGTTTCAAAGTAGTTATTTTGACCTTTTTCTTCTAGGAGGAATTTGCAGTAGGAGAAATTTTCTTGGAAATACGTTAACTGAAATTACCAGTTCATCAGATCATAAATGTGCCCAGAAGAAGGAAGTGTACTATTTTTCAGAGTAAAGACTGATTCAGTATTCTGGCACAGTTCAGAAGACGGGAGTGCATTGCTCAAGATGCTCTTCGACATAAAATTGAGATCTACGTTCACCTGACATGAAAGATTGGTAGATATTTTAAATTAGAGTAAGGTACAATTTCTAAAGCACAGTTCCCTAGCTAAATTCAGCAAGAAATGCATTTCTTGCCAGTCCATAAGCCAAACCATAATTTCATTCCGATAGTCTATATTCCTTATGTTTTCTATCCAAACTTGTTGTCTACTGCTGTGGCATCCTAGACTGGAGGTAGCTGCCTGCCAGCAGAGTCTAAGGAGATCCCTGTATATGTCACTGTAACAAACAGTACTTTGGAAGCAGTGCTTATACTCCACTAAGCTAACAGCACCACTGTACCAAGTTCTGCAACAGTTACAGAAGGGGAAGCAGAACTCAGGACTCCCACCTCCTCTGGAAAAGTACCCCAGCTTTATCAGGTACAGATGGGAAAAGGGAAATGGAAAGGTAGCAGACTAGCTCTTGTGGCGTCCCTGAGCAGGTGCTGAAGGTACACTACTAGCTGCTGTCAGCCACTTCTTATTGAATAAATGGTAGCTACAAGCTAACTAGAGGATTATGTTCTTCACCTGAACTGACACTTTTTGCATAAGCTACAGTATTATAAACGATGAAGGACACATATTTTGCACAGGCCTCAACTAAAAGGAAAAAAAAAATAAAGAGAGAAACACAAAGACTCTGCTTCTTGTGAGAGGCATCTCCCTACTCATGTTCCTACTTAGGGTTTCAGGAAAAGAAAAGGAAGAACACAGACATTAGCTGTGTTGGTCTTTCCTTCTCTGACCCTCTGCCTCATGGGAACAATAGGTTCAGTAGAAAAAATGCTCATCTGCTGCTCCTAGTGCATTCTTCCAGGATTCTAGCACAGCTCTTAGGTGCAGCAGTCTATAGACCTTGTCTTTAATCTCCACCTCATTAATTGGTTATATGAATATTTCAAGTAACATGTGTTGCTGTAGGTGGTAGCTTCCTTAGATATTAGGCACTCGTTCTGTGAAATTCATTGCCTGCTGACTTCTGGAACACCTCCTTTTCTTTGGTCTTCAAACACTTAAGCTAGAGGTATTTACTCTGAACAGCAATTACATTTTTATTCAGTTAAAAAAAAACACTTAGGAACATTGCCTAGGTTCTGTTCCAGTTTTACAGACTCTTAGTAACCTTAATTTCTCAGCTTCCACAACTCTAAATGAAGATATCTAACTCCTTCATCAGGATGTTATAAAGCTATGTTACTGGATAATTCTAGGGGCTTTCAGATCTTCAAGCAGGCATTATAGAAATGCTGACTATTAGTCATGCCTCTGTTTCTGCCCCTTCTTCTGAGAAACAGCATAGAAAAAAGCACAGAGAAAGCATTATGGGAGAACAGAGCATTCTACAGTACAAGCGATTTTGTTCCTGGCCAGTGATGTTTTGGGCAGTAAGAAACAACACAGGTCCTCTTTTCAGGCACAAATGTGAGAAGTATAAGCTATTATTCTGAGTGAAACCTAGAGCAGAAATGATATTCTGAACCAGCCTGATAACCCATAGGATTCTTGTCTCTTCTTTGAAATATTGCATTATGAACTGGTCCTCACCCTCCAACCCCCCACATTATTTATTTATTTATTTAGAAGGAAAAGTAAACTCAGCCAAGTTGCAGAATGAAACCTGAACTGGGACCATTAATAGCTCTGTGTACCACCTTATCTGGTAATCTCTTACAGGGCACTAAGCCGAAACCCTTGCTCCTCTCCCAGGCGCTTCCAAACTCTGCCAAGGATGAGAATTCCCACTAAGCATAGGACTGTGTTCACACTAACACAGCTATGTACAATGGTGCCTGAGACCACTAATAATAGCTCTCTTTAAATCCTGCACTGATGAGGTAAGTACAGTTTATTTTTATATATTTTAAATGGAGTAACACATGCATGTGCTTCAGACAACAGCAACTGCCTGCTTTCAGAATATACAGCTATATTCTGCTTAAAAGGATGCTACTGTGGGTGTCTCTCTTTGCGTGTCCTCTGGTAACACCAAGAAAAATTGTGGTTCTACAGGCAAATGCCTCTCTGTGAAGGGCACAGTAGGTTAATTAAGTTATTAGCTGTAATCATCATCTTTCTCTTGATGTACTACGTGGAGCTACACAGTAAGTTCTGCATGCAGGAATTCATCTTGCTTCCTTGTAAAAAGCTATATGAAACTCACGTTAATCCAAGGGTGATTCATAAACTGAGAAACTGTCATCCTCTCTGTTGGGTCGGTCTTCAGTAAGTGGCGAATCAGTTGTTTGGCTGAAAAACAGGATCAACATAGTGTGTTGTAGTCTACTACTGCGCTCCCCCAAATCCTTGAGAACACAAAGACCTGCTGAATGAAGAAAGATAATTTTGCAGAACTCAGAACACCTAACTATTGCTGCTCCCAAGTTAAGAAGCCATGTATAGTGTGGGAGGTTATTATGCTTAAAGGGGCAGAACATGAAAACATCCAAAACAAAAAAAGGCAAGAGGGAAAGATAAAGGATTGGAGATCCTACTCCAATCTACTATGCTCTCTTCTTCACAAACCCAACTGTTCTGAGAGCAAGAAATTGAGTAAAAGGGCAACACAGGAGCAGAAAGCTACCTGTCTAAAAGATGGCAACAAGCCTAGCTGAACGAATGCATGAATTGATGTTTTGAGGAGTAATAGAAGACAAAACCTAGCACAAGCCATGAAAACAAAGGCAATAAATTCTGGCAACTGAGAGGCCACTGAAAGGACAAAAAAGTAAAAGAAATGGTTTACATAAACAGGCTTTGCAGCAGCTTTCTGTGAACATGGTACTGACCAAAGTGAGAGGTACTACGTAACTGAGATGAGAGATGATCAGAGTTTGCACGTGAGTTTCAGTAATGTGAACAGACAGGAAACACCACACCCAAGGGACATTATTCAGAAATACTTAAACATAACTTCCTGAGGAAAACACAGACAAAATTTTGAATAAGTTCTTTTAGCAACACTGAATGACAAATGACTAAATGTTTCTAAGGAGATGCAACAGATAAAAGCTGGGACTTTAGTTTGATGGAGGCCACAAAGGAGGTGTACAGTAAAGATTACCTGGAGTCTAAAATCTACGAGGTAAACAAACAAATAAAATAATAAAAATAAGAAATAAAAAAAAAAAGAGGAAATCATGAACAGAGTCTATTAAGATGATTAGATGATTATAGGAAACTAGTGGGAAATTCAGAGGTAGTCTCCATAGATGATGCAATGAAGAAATGATCAGAAAAGGGAAACCATGACAGAACAGTAGGGAGGAGTAGAAGGGCAAAAAGAGGCAAATTACTGACACTGTCTGGTCAGCCTGAAAGAATGCCCATAAGCTAACTAACCTTAGTAGGTTCAAAGGTAGAGGGCATCTATCTTCACTCAGGCAAGCATATGGAAACCCTACACATTTTCAAAGTGAATGTTCTCTGATCAAGCTCCCCTAGGATTCTAATAACTGCTGTAAAATACAAACAAGTCTAAAGAGTGACACATTATTAAGCCAGACACCCATAACTAAAACATCTTTCTTACTAATGTGAAGTAGTTCGCACTGTATACACAGCCATGGGATCCAATGAGGGGTTACAATACCACAGATTACAGTGATATCCAAGGATAATTTGTTATTGCTTTAGCAGCAGACCATAACAGGATATTAAAAGTAGCAACATAAAGGGCTTGTTAGATGAAGATGTGCTCAGAGATTGCTGACCCTTCTCTCTAAGATGATGTGCAGATGAGACTTACGGGTTATGAGACTGTCAAAATAACAGAGAATCAAAACCATCCACTTTCAGGACACTGGTTTGAGCCCATCCAGGTCACAGTTGAGCAGCAGCAGCTTTTGGTCAATGACTTATACAAAACAAATTGTTGACCTTCATTTAAGTGGTGGCTGGCAAGTTTTCTTATCACAAAAAGCTAGCATGAAAAGTTGCCATCCTTGCTGGCTGTATCACCAGGCAGGGCAAAGACTGAATGAGTTCTTAAAAGAGTTTGCCTTTCTTCCAACTCAGCCTGCATTGCAGTTGCCCTGACAGTCTCCTTTCTCATGATTAAATACTTTTGTTTCTTGAGGGTTTAATCCGGGCTTTCACTAGCACTTGTTGGAATTTGAAAGAAAGTTTTCAGTAGTCATTTACTTTCTATAGCACTTAGCTTGCTGGCTAGTATCTGAGTTCCCATTCCTTCTCCATATCACCTTACAAAAAAAAAAAAAAAGTAAAAAATAGAAATAAACATCAAATCAGGATTTTAAAAATAGTCTTATGTAAACACTCCTTCACTGTACAACACCATGCACATATTCATCAGAAACACTGAGCATTGGTACCTTCTTCTGATACTTCAGCCCATTCTGGATTAGGAAACCCATACTGCCCCATCCGAATTCTTCTCTTCATCCCTGGAGAAATAGCTTGTCCAGTGTTTGAGTAGAATGGAGGGAAGCCACACAGGCTGTAAGAATGAACAAAATAAGTCTTACAACTAGAAAAAAACTTTAATCTCTTAAGAAGCCCCATGAAAGCATATACACTTCCGGAGGTTGCATGATCCTAATGATTAATTACTTTTAAGTGCAGTTTTAATAGAATTGGCCTTTTTCTGTTGATCTGGACTCTTTTCAAATACTTACAGAATATACGTGATGACACCCAGAGACCACATGTCGCATGATTTGTCATACTTCTCAGGACCAAGGACTTCTGGAGCTGAAGAAGAAAGAAAAAACAGAAATTAACAGAGAAACAGATATTTCCTCTCATTTTCATCATCTTATAAGTAGCAGCACACTTCAATAACAAATATGGGAAGCACTAACAAAGCAAAACAAAACAAAAAATACACCACGACTCACTGCAGGAGCTGTGTGGTATTTTCAATTGACAAGTTCCTAAATGCATCTCTGTAGCTTTAAAGAGGAGGAATGGAGCTGGCAAAATGCCCTATACTCTTCACCTTAGTGTCTGCTCAAGAGAGTACTAAGATTGCAGAAAAGCAGAAGGAGCTATAGCTAAATGTGTACAGGGAGACACAGCACTAAAAGAGGCCTCAACATATGTTCTAGAAAGCAGAACAGAAAGGACCTACTTGAGCTGTGATAAAATTTTGAACAGTACCTAGGTGGAGTGTCTTTGGCTTTCCTAACTACAGAGCACTGTATTTTTCTTTGGCCTCCAGAGCACTCTATTTTTCATTAAGTAACAAAATTTTACAGAGATACATTTAGAGGGGATATTCATTGGGACATGTGATCTGGCATGGAGCTTGATTCTGTAAGGAAATGGCTCTATAAACAAACGAGCAATCCTGCTGGTTTAAAGAAAAAGGTGTTGAAGAGGGAAATGTCACCCTGTTTATGTACAAATATAAAGGCAGAAAAACATATATGCGAAAATTCTTTAATATTTTATCACTAATCCCAGTTTAAGAAAACAGAGAAGAAAGCATCAGGAAAAAATATTGCTATCATAGGTTTCTGCTAACAAATGAGTAACAGTATCTTTCATCACAAAAAAAATAATGTAACACCTACATAGATGAAGGGGAAAGAAAATAAAGCCCTTTTTCCTCCAAAGAAATTCCAAGCACAGACTGCCTTGGTCATACCATATGGTGAATGACTATTAACTCAATGACTGAAAAGGACACACTTTAAAATGAGTGCACAGAGGACAGTCTAATGTGGCATTCATTACACAGTGCTCTGTCACTGGACAAAATGCAGGCAAAAATTCAGCTGTGATTAAGTCACTTTGGTCCTTTATTATTAATTCATCCATTTGCCATCTTTAAGAAGCCTTACAGCTGAGAAAATACTCTCCTTGTTTTTTTATTGCATTAGTTAAGGTATGGGAAGTTTTTCAAGGAAACACCCAAATAATTATGAAGCTGAGTTCAAATTATGGCTTTTATTGCATCATCCAGAGGAAACATAAGGTTTACTTTGGTGTAATCAGAAGCAACATGTTCTCTCTCCTCAATCCTCACTTGCATCCTCTGTTAAGGCTGTTTCCTCTGCAACCCAGGAAGAAAGCAGGAGGACTGGACTGGAACCAGATAAGGTTTGGGGTTGGGGTAGATCTCATTTTAAATTCTGCAGGCTCCCTCTTTGCATTGCATCCACAAGAGAGGATTTGCCATCCATTCCTACAGCCCATGGACTCACTATAATGGGAGGGATAAGAAACACAGATGAAACGCATCTTGGATAACTCACCCACATAGTAAGGAGTGTAACAAGGGGTCTGCAGCGCATTTTGTACAGTGGTTTCTTTGGCAAAGCCGAAGTCAGTGAGTTTGAGTACAGCATCCTTCTCTTTAGATGTGTAAAGCAGGTTTTCAGGCTGAAAGACCACAGGGAGAAAGGATAAGCAGAGCAATGAAGAGAAGTCTTTAACAAGATGTACAGTCAAACCATTCCTGCTTGCCTGGATCACCACCAGCATCTCAGTCCTCTCTCATGGTCCATCACACCACACAGAAAGTTCCCTCCCAACAGACAAGAAGCTTTACTCAGACTAGGGATCAACATCTTTCTCTGCATGGTATTTGTGAGAGCACGTGGCGAGACTCCCATCAGATCCAAAGGGCATCGAGTCTGGGTTCCTGAACCTCTCTCTAGTTCACTGCACTTACTAGGATTGTTCCATCTGACCAGCACCATTTGACGTGATGGTACTCTGTAAAACTTCAGGTAGCTGAAGGCTTTCTCGATCCCCTCATCCAGATCATCGATAAAGATATTAAAGAGGACTGGCCCCAGTACCAAGCCCTGGGGGACGCCACTAGTGACCGGCCTCCAACTGGACTTGACTCCATTCACCACGACTCTCT